AGGCTATGAAACCCAATTCATCAGTTCAGTGATACATGAGGAATATTAAGCAGCTGAGAAAAAATGTTTTCTAAGAATATTTAATGACCAAAGGAAATGCTCACCAAAGGCAAACAACAACAGGAAAACCAACCTGTATATACAGGGTCATTCTAATGACCGGGGAAAAAGTATCTATGCATTTTTTAAAAGATTGGAAGAACACGCACCAAAATAATGTCAGTGGTTTCTTTTGGGTAGAGAGGTTGTAGGTGATGTTGCTTTTCTGTGTTTTCCCTCCTACAACAGGCATAGTTTACTTTTATAAACAGGGAAAATGTTATTTAAAAAAAAAAGATTCTATGATGATACTTTCGTGGGTAGGAAAGTGGCCTCAGATATTTTAGAAAAAGCTTTAACTACAACCAAAAAGGTGCTTGACAATTTGAGTCATCACAGCATTTAGCTTTCAGGCAGTTTTATTGTGTATAAATCATTTATTTTATCAGCAATACAATAAAACCCTATTAGTCTCCTTATTATACCTTTTTTTGAGACAGTGTCACTCTGTCGCCAGGCTGGAGTGCAGTGGTGCAATCTCAGCTCACTACAACATCCGCCTCCTGGGTTCAAGTAATTCTCCTCCCTCAGCTTCCTGAGTAGCTGGGATTACAGGTGTGTACAACCACACCAGGCTAATATTTGTATTTTTAGTAGAGACGGGGTTTCACCATGTTGCCCAGGCTGGTCTCGAACTCCTGACCTCAAGTGATCCACCTGTCTCGACCTCCCAAAGTTCTGGGATTACAGGCGTAAGCCACCGTGCCTGGCCCCCTTATTATAACTTATTATTACATACAATATATAACTTATTGTCATACAATATAACTTCTTAGTATAAAGATTCATGTGAACCAGAGTCAAATCATATATCCTGAAACATGTAGCAAAAAGTCTTTTTTTTTTTTTTTTTTTTTTGAGACGGAGTTTCGCTCTTGTTACCCAGGCTGGAGTGCAATGGCGTGATCTCGGCTCACCGCAACCTCCGCCTCCCGGGTTCAGGCAATTCTCCTGCCCCAGCCTCCTGAGTCGCTGGGATTACAGGCACGCGCCACCATGCCCAGCTAATTTTTTGTATTTTTAGTAGAGGCGGGGTTTCACCATGTTGACCAGGATGGTCTCGATCTCTTGGCCTCGTGATCCACCCGCCTCGGCCTCCCAAAGTGCTGGGATTACAGGCTTGAGCCACCGCGCCCGGCCCGCAAAAAGTCTTAATGAAATAATCAGGTAGCTGATAGCTTCCTCTGCCTCCAGTGCTGTCAAGGGTGCCGCTGTATAATCAGTCGTAAGAACCACAAAAGCACTGATAAGTTCCCAGAGGTTTTTTGTTTTTGGTTTTTTGTTTTTTTTTTCTGAGATGGAGTCTCACTCTGTCGCTGAGGCTGGAGTGCAGTGGCACAATCTCGGCTCACTGCAACCTCCACTTCCTAGGTTCAAGCGATTCTCCTGCCTCAGCCTTCTGGGTAGGGGGATTATAGGTGCCTGGCAAATTTTTGTATTTTTAGTAGAGACAGGGTTTTGCCACGTTGGCCAGGCTGGTCTCAATCTCTTGACCTCATGATCTGCCTGCCTCGGCCTCCCAAAGTGCTGGGATTACAGGCGTGAGCCACCGTGCCCGGCATTCCCACAGGTTTTTTTAAAAAACCCTCGAATGCATGCAACACATCAAATAACAGCATGTCCCTCATGCTGATTAAGCCAGGTTAAGAGGAAATAGTAGTAGCAATGCCCTATCCTGGGAAAGAGAAATGTGGGGGCTATCTAAGGAGAAATAAGGCCTGCAAAAGCTGGCAGCACCCCCAAGGTGCTTCAGAAATGCCCTTCACTTGGGGAGCAGCTTAGGGGATGCTGAAGACACCCAGGACAGACTATCCTTACCAGACAGGGGAGGAGGCCCATTTTTGGCAAATCCAATAGATTAAACTGATTTTAATACACAAGATAAATTCCACAGTGGCTTTTCATTCTATAAAAGGATTCACAGCAGGATTCCATTAAATAGCCAGCTCTCCAATTGCCTTGAAAGCAGGATTCAATAGACAAACATTCAGCTGTCATGTACCTTTATAGGAAGACAATAGCTATCTACACCTACACGGGTAGGCAGTATCTGAAGGGTTGTTTCTGTTCCACTTACTGAGATCCTGCTGAGCTAAAAGCACAGATTGACCTTCCCCACAACGCTCTCCCCACCCAGCTCAAGGGGTCAAAGCAAGGAAGGGGTGGGGTTCAATTCTGCCACCTCATTTGGAAGCAGAGGCAGGCAGGGACGTAAAAGAAATTAGGCTAGAGAAAAAGGAAACATTAGCACCATACAATGTTAGATCTGGAAACGCCCTTAAAGATCACCTGATCCAGCCCTTTCATTTCACGAAAGGGGAAACAGAGACTCACAGAGAGGAAGTGACTTGGTCCACGTCACAGAGTGATTTAGTGACAGAGAATAGTGCTGGGATCCAGGCCCCCGTCAAGCCAACTGCCACTCTCCAATGGAAAAGCTGACTCAAGTGGCAGATGTGTTTCTTTATGCTGGTAAAATTCCGGGATGTTGAGCTTCTGGCTTGATGCTGGTCAGGGGCAGAAGGGTCAAGGACCCAAACCTGGAAACCTGTGAGCTCCCCAAGGTGGTTCTGGCCCACAGAAGGCAACTGACGCAGTCAGTGCTGTGGAAGGCATTGTGTGTTCCTGCTCTCCACTCACCTCCCCACTTTTCCCTCCCATTTCCCTCTCTTCTGACTGCGGCCTAAGCCTCAGCCTGGCCAGCTGCCCAGTTCTGCTGAAGAACCCCAAGGCTAACACAAGCCTACCTAACTCAACAAGCCAAAGTCTAGGTCAAATATCCCTGTCTCAAGCCAGGGGTGACCCCTGCTCAGGGTAAGTTGAACTTTCCCACAAAAGCCAGCAAGATTCCCTGGAAGCCAGGCAATTGAAAGAGAGTTTTCTAGGTGTTCTGGCTATTGTTACCTCCAATCTGCTCAAAAAGAAAAGGTTTACCCACAGGCCTCTGGGTGAATGCCCAACTGCCCTCTAGGGAGCCTGAATCTGCCTCTGACTCCATCTGGTCTTGTTTAATGGAGATCTGAAAAAACCCAGTTCCTGCCTCAGCGCCAGTGTTCAGAGCTGGGGGCTTCCAATGTGAAAGGAAACCAAACACGACCTCACACCTCATCAGGGCCAGGAAAAGAGAGTTCTGCTCCTGTTACCCCAGGGCCTTCATTCTGGGTCAGAGAGGGCCACAGCAGGGGAAACCTGAGCCCTGAGGCCTGTACCTGAGAAGGCCTACAGATCTTTTCCCTCCTCACCTTTAAGTGAGTGGAATGGATGACCCAACTCCAGGGCCGGCTGAGAGCGCGCTGCATAATTCAGCAGATGGCTGCCTCTAATGAGAAGACACTGAAGAAGAGGATCACTTTATTTCTCACCCTCCTGAGCATGTGGCCTCCTTCCTCTGTGCAGGCAGCAGAGAAACCCACGGTTTCAAATCCGAGCAGCAGAAACCTCCTCCTGCCAAACCGAGGAGGAAGGGTCTGTGTTTCTAATTTATTCTGTGCCCCCCTCCAGTTGTTACTTAAAATAATCCATCATTACATGGCTGGTGGCTCCAAGATTTTTATTTAAAGCAATATGGAGAAGAAAAAAAAAAAAAAAAAAAAAAACCCACACAACCCGTGACTGTGCTATCTTGGATTTAAGCTGAGAATCTTTTTAACATCAGAGAGTCTCCAAAACACCCTAATAGACTCTTCCCTGGGCCCTATGGGGGTACTGGGGCAGTGCAGTGAAAAGAGGGGGAAGGGAGGCCATGGCAGGAGTTTGATTTCTTAGAAACATCATGAAAAGGCCAGTGTTTTTAAAAAAGGAATCTGTGTCATCTGGTAGGTGTTTCATTGCATCATCCACTGACCAGCAATAGCACTTTGGACTAAGTCATTTGGTCTCCCTACAACCATTAAATAAAGAGAACAGGCTGGGCACGGTGGTTTACACCTGTAATCCCAGCACTTTGGGAGGCCGAGGCAGGCGGATCGCCTTAGGTTGGGAGTTCGAGACCAGCCTGACCAACCAAACCCCCATCTCTACTAAAAATACAAAATTAGCTGGGCGTGGTGGCACACGGCCTATAATCCCAGCTACTCCAGAGGCTGAGGTGGGAGAATCACTTGAACCTGCGAGGCAGAGGTTGTGGTGAGCCAAGATTGCGCCACTGCACTCTAGCCTGGGCAACAAGAGCAAAACTCCATCTCAAAATAAATAAATAAATAAATAAATAGAGCCGGGCACAGTGGCTCATGCCTGTAATCCCAGCACTTTGGGAGGCCAAGGTGGGTGGATCACCTGAGGTCAGGAGTTCAAGACCAGCCTGGCCATCATGGTGAAACCCCATCTTTAAAAAAATAAATAAAATAAACAAATAGAAATTTAAAATCTAAAATAAAGAGAACAGTAATACTTATCCAGGAACTGTTGGGGAAAATGAAATCATACAGATGGAAGCATTTTGAGATAGATGAAAGAAACATGTTACATCTATCCATGGCTTTCCTTCTTTCCTTCTTTTTCCTTCCTTCTTTCTTTCATCTGTCTTGAATGCAGTTTTAATGTACATGCAACTAAAAGCCCTTCTCAATTGTTCATGCTAATATTAAACCACGGCTCTGATCATCCGAAAACCCAGGCAAGTCCAGAAACCAGTCCTACTTGGTTTGGGAATACCTTTTTCCAGGGGACTTATCTCCCTAATTAGTTTTGCTCAGGTTAATGCAATGGGTTTACTCCCTTATAGCACACAAAGGCAGGGGCCATGCTTGGAAATAAAGCCAGCAATTAATAGAAAATTTACAGCAGAGACTCCACAAAGTAAATGCTATGCACATGACTGCAGATCAAAATCTTATTAGACGATACAGACAAATTATTCTGCTGTAACGTAGTTTTGTATTAAGAACACCGCTAACACTCACATTTCCAGGATTTCGGATGTGAAGAGGAAATGGCTTATTCCTGCCTTTCATCTGGAAGCTCTGAGAGGGCAGAGTTCCTGCATGCCTTGGCCACCACTAAATCCCCAGCACCTGGCACAGGGCCTGGCCGATCAATGCCCAGTGAGTATGTACTGAAGGAACGAATGAAAATAAAAGTAGGTGAATTGGTAAATGAAGATGTTCCCAACCCAGTAGCAGATGCGAGATCTCACCCACCTTCACACCTACCCATTTCCTATTTGAAGCCCTCAGGAAGCCCTTCCTGTCATCCTCTGCCTCCATTCACTGCTGAATTGGGTTCCTTTAGTAAAGAAATCTCATGGCAGGCAGTCAGTCTCCCGTGTGGCACTTATCACAATGATAATTAGATAGTGATTTGTGTCTGCCTCCACCACTGGATCGTAAACTCCTTGAAAGAAGGGGCCATGTCCATTTGAAGGGCATTGTCATTCTGCCCACTTTTTATTTTGAAAAATCCCAGGCCAGGCATGGGTGGCATGTTAATGCCAGCACTTTGGGAGGTCGACGCAGTCAGATCACGAGGTCAGGAGTTCGAGATCAGCCTGGCTAACATGTTGAAACGCTGTCTCTACTAAAAATACAAAAATCAGCCAGACACGGTGGTGTGCACCTGCAATCCCAGCTACTCTGGAGGCTGAGGCAGGAGAACTGCTTGAACCCAGGAGGCGGAGGTTGTGAGCCGAAATTGCACCATTTGGATTCCAGCCTGGTGACAGAGCAAGATTCCGTCTTGGAGGAAAAAAAGAAACAAAGAAAAATCCCAAACACACAGAAAACTTAGAAAATAATGTAATGAAAGCTCTCAAATTTAGAATCAACATTTTTTTAATATTTGGGGCCATTTAAACTTTCTTCTGTGTTGTATCACCAGTAGAGTTAGGTGATTGGGTTTTGTTTTCTGTGTTTGAGGTACAAACTATCTTTAGCAGGTGGTGGTAGGAACGCCTGAGGCAGAGACCTCAAAGGAAATCAAACTGCAACGTGATAATAGCAAAACGAGCGTGCAGCATCAATCTTTTCCCCACCTGGAGACAGTTGCTCTCAGACAGTTGACCCAGACCAACCCCAGCTAGCTTTGTAGGGCAAAGTTAGCCTCTGCAAGTTCATTTGAGAGAAGGACCACTACCCAGATTGCCACTGAAGAAAGCTCCTTGTTCACATTGTGGGAATAGCTCAAGTCAGAATCATCCAGACGTTCTTTGTATGGGCCAGCCTTTACGGGCTGGATCCCAGAATGCAACGTTGAAGGGAATGGCTTCATTACAAGAGCCAGGAGATGCAGCTTTTGGGGCCTGCCCTGTGCCTTGGTTACCTTGGACAAGTCATGGAACCTCTTGAAGTATAAGTTAATAGCAGCCCACGCCACCTCACAGGCAGGGGGTGAGGTGGAGCATCCCAGGGATCTTCTATAGTTCTTTCTTTTTTTTCTGGAGACAGAGTTTCCTTGTGTCGCCCAGGCTGCAGTGCAATGGCACGATCTCAGCTCACTGCAACCACTGCCTCCCAGGTTCCAGCGATTCTTGTGCCTCAGCTTCCCGAGCATGCCTGGCTGGCTTTTGTATTTTTGGTAGAGACAGGGTTTCAGCACGTTGGGCAGGCTGGTCTCGAACTCTTGACCTCAGGTGATCCACCCGCCTCAGCCTCCGAAAGTGGTGAGATTACAGGCGTGAGCCACCACACCTGGCCCTTCTATAGTTCTTTAATTATTTCACAGTGTCCACCATTTTTCACTCCAACTAGACTATAAGCTTAAAAGCCACGAACGTTTTTTAAAGCTTACTACCTTCTTTTGTCCAGTTGACAAGGGCTAACTATAGTGCTGGCCACATATCAGCCAATCAGATAAATACAGACACAGTGGACAACTGGTGTTGTCACACCAAACCCTTTGTGGTGTTCATTGAAATGGGATGGACTTGTATTATGTGCACCAGAATTGAACTTCCAAGTTGCCTGAATGCAATATAAGCCCTGCCCAACAAGTTGAAGGCTTGTTTTAGTCACTAAGAATGCTTACCCACAGTGACTCTCAACTGATCCTAGAAAGAACACCCCTCATACACACCCCACCCTCATACACACACTAGGGTACTTACTCACATGGTACCACGTCTCACAGCTCATTAAAAAGAATTCCTGACCACGTGTGGTGGCTCACGCCTGTGATCCCAGCACTTTGGGAGCCCGAGGCAGGTGGATCATGAGGTCAGGAGTTTGAGATCAGCCTGGCCAACAAGGTGAAACCCCGTCCCTACTAAAAATACGAAAATTAGCTGGGTGTGGTGGCACGCACCTGTAATCCCAGCTACTCGGGAGGTTGAGACAGGAGAATCGCTTGAACCCAGGAGGCAGAGGTTGCAGTGAGCCAAGATCGCGCCACTGCATTCCAGCCTGGGCAACAGAGCAAGACTCTGTCTCAAAAAAAAGAATTCCTAAGCTAGCCACACTTAGGTTTATTCTCTAGTCTTTTGTTCCCAAACCCTGAATACATGTTCCTTGGAGGAAACAAGCAGCAACCAGATGTCCAAGGTCTCCTGAGTTAATTCCATCTTCCCTGGTGAATTACAACTTCTTGCAGACACAAAGGAGAACAGAGAGATAAATGACACATAAACAAGAGCTTCACTGGCTGGGGGAGGGGGACATGGAGAGTGACGTCAGTTTTCCCAGAAACCCATTTATCACGATAACAAGGTCTCGAGTGCTTTAGGCTGCTCTTTCAGCTTCAGAATCTGGCGTACAATTATGTTCTTCATCACACAGTATGGCAAAGCCAGCCAGAGTAAACTGGAGCCATGCGAAGCAAACCAAGTGGCCCTAAACCACCCCCTCACCCCCATCTGCAGAACAAAGGGGACCTCTGGGTTGCCTGAGTTGTGCCTGAGGTGAAACACACATAATCTCCTGGAAGGTTCCCCTTTGCAATATCTGTCCTGCAATCCTAATCCAGGCAAGAGAAATGGTGAGAGAGTATGGAGGACAGGTCGATGCAAATTCATTAGCTGACATGAAAAATTATTAGCATCATTTTTGGATGGAGCAAGTATAATCCTGGAGACTAATTCCTCTACTTCAACTATACCATCTCTGAAATGCAGGTAACCAGGAGCAGAAAAGCCACAGCAGAAAAGAGAGGGTCCTCAAAACACTAAAGCAATAAACACGAGAGTGCCAATCTTGGGGGAAGAAAATTCTCTCAAATTCCATCATTACAGAGAATGTCTCCTGTCTACTCCTGGTCCTTCCACATCATGACTGCATAAAGTGCTCTGTGCTAGGGGGTGCAGAGGGTGGAGGAGATTCCGAAGAAATGATCCTGCCCCTTCAAACAGGGACAAAAGAGTGGAATACATTAATACATATTCTGTAGAGAAAATACTATCAGAGTCTGGCTTCAGATTTTGAAAAATCAATTTCAATTACACCAGTTACCTAGAGGCTTTTTTGTACTGTAATTGCATTGCATGAACTATTTTCCTAAATAAGTAAGCTACAAGGTTGAAAAGCATTTTTATGTGGTTCAGAGATTTTCGTCAAGTAGTATTTGGTGTCGCGGGATTTGACCTACCGCTATCTCCCACTCCTTCCTCACCTGGGGGTGCTGGTGGGCTTCTTAAAACCCCAGATATCCATGGATTAATAAAGCTAGGGTGTCCCCCCCAAATGGAATTCATCGCCCTTTGCAACCAAACTTCTGGTCTAAAAAACAAACATGGAGCCTCAGGTCACTTCAACATGGTTTCTCTGCACATCCCAGGCTGGAAAACTTCAGTTCTTTAAATGAAGATTTTTTTTCCCCCAAAGTCGGTCGCCAACAAAAAGAGAGACGGCACCGCTTTTGCGAGTCTCACACTTATTTTCCTGAGTCTCCATAGAAAGAAGCCAGCTCCACAGGTTTTGGCACGCAAGGCCAGTTACACTGAACATGCACCCGAGACAGATCCTCAGAGGCCCGCTCAAAAACATGCCAAAATACGCAGCCAGCCACCTACAGGCCAGCCAACTGCACCCAACACTGACGCACAAATGGGACCCAGAGGCACACGGCCCAAGCAGACAGCGAGGTGTTCGGACACACACCACAGAGGTGAGCACACTCAGGGAAACAGGCGGACTTCTTTGGGTCACAGACAGAACCCCAGCGCCGCCGCCGCCCGCCAGGGAAGGCAGGAGCGCGCACGCGTGCACACATTCGCGCACACGGATACACACACAGACGCAGTCACATATGTAATGCATATAGAGAAACCCTATCCCAGCCAGTCACCTCCCCGCCCCCCTCGCCACTCACCGCCTTCTGCCCCAGGCTAACCCCAGCCCTGCGCCTCTTTGCCTGTGCTGTCCCAGGTCCCAGTGGGCAGCCGTGCGCAGGGGCGCGGCAAGGCCAGGGTGCCAAGGACCCGGAGGGCTCGGAGGCTCCGATGGCCATTCATTCGGCAACGCCCCAGCCGTGGGGCCGCAGCTGCAGCGAGGGAGGCGGCGGCGCTCACTGCGGCTCTTGGGCAATGCAAGTTCAGCCGCCGGCCCGCAGGCTTTGCCAGCCCCCCTGCCGCCAGCCCGAGCGCCACCACCGTTTTCCGGGACAGGCTGGGGGACTGAGCTGCTGACCCCGGGAGCAGAAGTCCCACCGTGCCCTCGGCTCCTGGATGCTGCCCATTGCCCTCCTCGCGATGTGGCGGCGGCGGCCAGGTCTCCTCGACCCTCCCCAGGCCCTCGGTCCTGGCCCTGGCACCCAAGCCCTGCACTCACCACCTGGCGAGCTATATCGGTCGCTGCCATCGCTCCTGCGTCCGCCAGGGCTGCCACGGGTGCGGCCGCAACCGGAGCTACCGCACAGGAAACAGAGGAGCTCCTCCGACAAAGAGAAAGTGTTACACTTCGGGCGCGACCAAGTCCGGTGGAGGGAGGTGCAAGGGAGGGGCCCCCTCGCCGCTGCTCCAACCCCAACCTCCCCTTTACCGCCCACCCCTTGAAAGTAGGGTATGTAGAGGGGGCGGATTTAACGCGCCGCTTCCCCCTACGGCCAGCCCAGTTCCAGTTCTTCCTGCAACCCCAGCCATAGGCCTCTGCGAAGGGGGGCGGGGGCTCCCCTCGGTGACCACGTCCTCTGCCCCCCCCGCCACTGGGTTCCGTGGTACGTCCCGACCTCTGCTGAATTGTCACACCCCCCTGCTCTCCTTACATCCCTAAATCCCCAGACCCCTGAGGCTGGAAGGGAGCCCCCGCCCCTCCCCCTTCCCAGGGTCGGCTCAGCAGCTGAGCTCTGCAGTTCTCCTCCCAGGCCCGGTAGCCCCTTCCTTTCCACCGAGATTCCAGGGTGCTTGTATGAGTGCGCCTGGGCCGCTGGAGTCTCGATGCCCCACTGTCGTGTCTCCCTCCCCCCATGGCCCGGGAGCGCAGCTGAGGCCGAGGTGCAGAGGAGGCCTGCG